GAGAGAGAGAGAGAGAGAGAGAGAGAGAGAGAGAGAGAGAGAGAGAGAGAGAGAGAGAGAGAGAGAGAGAGAGAGAGAGAGAGTCACTTGAAGAAGAAGAACCACAACACTTGAAGGGAAGACACTCACACTTGGCAGTTCTGTGAATGAATCTGGCCGTCCTGCTGGCCATATTCATGCAGAAAACTCCTACCGGTAGTGTCAGTATGGTGGTGCTAAGTGTGTCTAGAAGAGAAAAACAGGACACGGTGGGTGGATCACCTAACAGCCAAAACGGTCGAAGAACAGAAGTGTTGAAACTTGAGTTTTTTTGTTCGGTTTTAGGTTTAGGGTTTTGGTTTAGTCTGTTTTTCTAGAGGAAAGGAGAAAAGCAATGGCCATACACTGGCTTCTGAAATCACGAAAAACTTGAATAATAGTTCGATATACACTTGCGTGTTCTCTGTTCTCTGTTACTTAGGATGCGCAATGTTGAAACGACAGCTTTTTTTTTTTTTTTTTTTTGGGATAATTTGTGAAATACCCCTATAAGTTGAGATATATGCCAAAATGCCTCTAAAAGATCTACGTAGAGCGGAATACCCCTCTGACACAAAAAATGTCTTGCGAAATGCCCCTAGCGTCGGTTGGACCTGTCATCTTTGCAAAATACCCCTACCGGCTACTGTCCATGTTTGCAAAATGTCCCGGTACTTGCCAACTTTTCCCAGGCCCTATGTATTTTCGTTTTACCCATAGTGGCCCAGGTCATCTTTGCGTTTAGCCCCCTCGCGGTGTGTGTGTGTGTGAGAGAGAGACACACAGAGAGAGAGAGAGAGAGAGAGAGAGAGAGAGAGAGAAGGGAAGCGGGACAATACCGAGCGAGCACGCGCGCGCGCGCGCCAGAGAGAGAGAGAGAGAGAGAGAGAGAGAGAGAGAGAGAGAGAGAGGATGAGCAACGCACCCGCCAACAAGTCTCCGACCCCGCGGCTGGCCTCACGCTACTTCCATCGATAGGATGAGCAAAATAACGAATCTACGGCCAGAACATGGAAATATACACTGCCACACTTGTGTGTGTGTGTGTGTGTGAGAGAGAGAGAGAGAGAGAGAGTTCTCGGAGTGGCGAGCAGGAGGATTTCAGAGATGGTGACGTGGCATAGGAGTAGCTGGAGATGGGGAACCTCACCGCGGAGGACGATGAAGGAAGCTGCCAACAATGGAGGCAAAGCTGCCCTGCCGACGGGCCTGGGTATTGCGCA